AATACACTTGGGAACTGCAAAAAGGGTACTCAGGTATGTGCAAGGAACAATTGATTTTGGAATCAAATATGAAAAAGGACAGTCAGCTATTCTGGTTGGTTTTTGTGATAGTGACTGGGGAGGTAGTGAAGATGATATGAAAAGCACATCGAGATATGCTTTTGCATTTGGCTCTGGTGTGTTCTCGTGGGCCTCGGTCAAGCAACAAAGTGTTGCACTATCAACCGCCGAAGCTGAGTATGTGAGTGCTGCAGAAGCAACATCTCAAGCAATCTGGCTGAGATTTGTTCTAAAAGATTTTGGAGAAATGCAAGTTGAACCAACTAAGCTAATGTGTGATAATACCTCAGCTATAGCAATGACAAGAAATCCAGTTTTTCATCAGAAAACAAGGCACATAAAAAGGAAGTATCACTTTATCAGAGATGCACTACAAGAAAATATCATTGAATTAATGTACTGCAGAACTGAAGATCAGATGGCAGACATTTTTACAAAGGCATTACCAAAAGAGAGGTTCACATACCTTCGAAGCCTGCTTGGAGTCAACACCAGGAAGAGTTTAGAGGGGAGTGTTGGATGCTAAACACTTCCAGGTTGATCGAAGGAATGAAGCAGCAGGATGCTAACGGCTAGTTTGTAACGGCTAGTTGTTTTTAAGTTATGTTTTGTTACAAGTGTAGGGCTTAGATTAAAAGCTCCAGTGAAGGGCTTAGATTAACTTAGTACTATATGGTAGTTGTGGTTTTTGTCAACTAGCTCCAATGGAGATAAGATCTGACCTTGTATACCAAAACCCTACTGACAGCATATATATATGTTTGCTATGAGCTGCTAAGTGTGCAGACTGCAATAGCCGAAATTCCTCTTTACATTTCTGTGTTTTTCCATAACCAAAAACCCTGTCAAGAACATTTTCTACAAAATATAAACCTTTCAAAACACTAACAAATATATCAAAATATTAGTCGGTTGTTCTCCATGTAAAAATATCAATGATCATCTTACAAAAAATATGATTAAATAGCGTTAGGTTTCCCAAACAGAGTTGGATTATCTAGTTTCTTGGGAAGCAAGGTTGGCTTGGGAGAGTTTATTCGGGCAGTATATTAGCGGTTAGCTAGGGTTTCTATTTCTCACTCTGCACCATCCACTCCCTCTCCTTTACTCGTCCGCACTGCGATTTCCTTCTTCGTTCTCTCTTGAATTTTTTGTCACCAACTATGAAACACTCTCGTAAAACTAGAAAGTGGCTTGACGAAATCCTCTCATCTGATCAGCACAAACCTGCAGCGGAAACCACTCGCAATCTGAATGCTTTCAAGAAGGCTGCTAACGATTCCTCTTCTTCCCGTTCGACGAAACTCGCCTCCAGACCCGAATCCCCGCGGGTAGCTTCTGTGAATAACTCAAAGAAACGCTCTGCTCCACCGGCCGACGATCGCGAGAGAGTTGAGATTATGGCCCAGGAAACGAATAGGGCAAAGAAGCAGAAGAGGCTGTCCACTCCTCTTCCTGTGATTTGTGATCAGATTTCATCTGATAAATCGGGTGGCTACTTGAGCTGTGAGTCACCCTTGACAGTGCTACCTCCTCTTCCTCTTTGTGATCATCATGAGCATGGCACCACAACACCTGAAGCGGCTCGGGTGGCCATGTTGAAATCTCGGTTCGCAGTCACCATTCTTAAAGCGCAACGCCCTGAAACCCCCGCTGCCGTGATTGAGAAGTATAGAGCCGCTGAACTTGCCAAAGCCAATGAATTGATAAAGAAGAATCGCCAAAGAGACAGAGAAGCTACTCGGCTTGCCCTCATTGAGATGGAAAAGAATGTCGACATTGACGATCCTTTCAAAACCATGAGAGAGTTCGAGATGATAATTTCTGGTAACACTTAGATTGATTGCTTAACACGTAACGAAGTTTCTTTAGCTTAGCTTCCTCTCTTATTTTCGAAGCAGTATTTGTATATCAGTATATGTATGAAGTTTACACATTTTATTGCCTCAGTTGAATAAGATATTGATTGGATATTCACATCTTTTCAATCTTCTGTTGCTTGCCGGAAAGTTAAATATTACCTAATTAAAGGCCATATTTGATATGGAGGATTAGATTAGTCTATATTGGACTAGCTATATCACTATATTTTACGTTTAATCAAAGAAAATTATGAATGTTGTCTTTTAATTTGGAAGATTTGAATTGTTTTGCAATCGTTCGGACCAACTGATCTCATTGTTGAACAGAAAAACTGCAATAATTAACAGTCGCCTTCCTAAAATATTAATATGGTATCACATATATAAAATTAAACAATTGTTGTTTTGTTTAGGGAGTTCCTTTGCAGACTTCGCTATATACTTGTGTGCCTATAAAGAAAACAGATGTTGAATAAAAACAAAATCCAGCTGACCAAACTTCATTTCAACAAGAAAACATATATCGTGGATCTCTTGTATAGCTCACTCAATAATATATCTTAACGATCCAACTGTTTATTTTTTAAATTTTCTCTTAAGGTCATCTCTTGACTGTTGGATTAAATTATAATCATCGCTTTGAAGAACTTAAAATCGCCACCACATTATATACCATTGAACCACATTATATATCATTGAATGAAACTGGTTTTTGAGGTTTTTGAGATTCGTAAAGCGGGTAAATTAAGTAAAACTCATCCTGTAACAAATAATGAAGTGGTATACAAAAATGAACTCAAGGGAGTATTGCAACTAATGCTAATTTCAAAGAAACAAGACAAGTGGACAAGTATTCAAGAATATCACCAACACTAACTCGTACCTAAGTTATATTATAAGAATCCCTCAATATTAGGATTTAATTATGTTAGATCCCACATCGCCCAGAGATGAGGATCCTTATACCTTATATGTACATGTCCACCTCCTTTAGCACGAGGCATTTTGGGAGCTCACTGACTTCGGGTTCCGTAGGAACTCCGAAGTTAAGCAAGTACGGGGCTAGGGCATTCCCAGGATAGGTGACCCATTGGGAAGTTCTGCTCGCGTGAGTTCCCAGAAACAAAACCGTGAGGGTGTGGTTGAGGTCCAAAGCGGACAATATCGTGCTACGGCGGAGTCGAGCCCGGGTCGGGATGTGACAATTTGGTATCATAGCCACTTCCTGGCCGGAAGTGTGCCGATGTGGACGTCGGGCCCCTAAGAGGGGTGGATTGTTAGATCTCACACGCCTAGGGGTGAGGATCATCTATGCCTTATATGTACATGCCCACCTCTTTTAGCACGAGGCTTTTTGGGAGCTCATTAGCTTCGAGTTCCGCAGGAATTCCAAAGTTAAGCGAGTATGGGGCCAGAGCATTCCCAGGATAGGTGATCCACTGTGAAGTTCTACTCGCATGAGTTCCCATAAATAAAATTGTGAGGGTGTGGTCGGGATCCAAAGCGGATAATATCATGCTACGGCGAAGTCGAGCCTGGATCGGGATATGACAAATTAAGAATCCTATAATTACTATTGTTGACATTACGTAAACAATCGCTTGTATTAAAAAAATAAAACATAATAAAAATTACAAGTATAATATAACATATAAAATAATAAATTGTCACACGCAAGCTCACACGCATACAATAGACTATTATGGATAAATAGTTCTTTCTGAGTTCTTATCTTTTTTTTTCTTAACTTGCTCTCAAATTGGACACTAATTTATAAACTTAAAGTTGCAAAATTTTGGAGTTTAGAAAGTTTATAAATACGTATGAATATTTTCAATTGCAGTCACGGTTCTAAGTTATATAAAAATGACGTAATAATATTTAATTTTAGTAAATTAAGATAGTTAGCTAATTCATTTTCTCAAAATAAAAGGAAATTCTACGGTACCTTATTAAAATAAAGTATCGGAGATAATTATAATTTATCCCTTATTAAAAGTAAGGCATTGGAGATAATCTTGAATACTCCAAGATTGTAGACGTAGTGGACTCTTTGCTAGCAATATTATTTAAGATACACAATGATGGTTCAAAATTAACTCTAACGTTACATAATTATAATAAGATTCAAGTTAATAACAAAAAATGACGTAATTATTATAACACTGTTAACATAGTATATTATAGTTGAACGTTATAACATTAGAGTAAGAGTAAATTGTAGCAATGGTCCCTGAACTTTACTCAAATTGGAGCAATGGTCCCTCAACTAAAAATCCATTACCATTGGTCCCTCAACCTATCAAAATGTGTAGCTATAGTCATTTTCATTAATTTCTTCAAAATTTTGTCAAAATATGTTATGTTGGAATAACCATTTATTTAATTAGAGTCTCTCAACTCATCAAAGTGTGTAATTATGGTCATTTTTGTCAACTACGTAAAAAATTTTGTCAAAACGAGTTATGCTTGAAGGACCATAGCTACAATTGGGATAAAATTAAGGGACCATTTCTCCAGTTGAATTAAAATTAAGAGACCAAAGGTAATGGATTTTTTGTTGAAGGACCATAGCTGCACGTTTTAATGAGTTGAAGGACCAATGGTAATGGATTTTTAGTTGAAGGACCATTGCTCCAATTTGAGTAAAGTTCAGGGACCATAGTTACAATTTACTCTTACAGTAAATTAAGCTACCCTAGAGGGACCCAAAACTACAATAGCAAATTTTATATTCGGGTTTGTACATGGAAGTAAGCCAAGAGGATTCTCACCCGATCTTCTTTATAAGAATCATTTAATTAAATTCGTTCATTGTACATAATGCGGTAAAAAATCATTGTAATTTTTTTATTTAAAATTAAATACAAATAATACCTGACAAAAAATGATCGTACGATGTACGATAAACATATATGATTGAAGGATCCTCGGAATCCTCACAAAGAGAATCCGGCGAGAATCACTCTCGGAAGTAAGTACCATGTAAAGGGTATTTTGGTCAAGCAAAGTGTCAACGGAAACCTATTTAAAACGTAGCCGTTGAACTCGAAACTCTTCAAAATTTCACAACGGAAACCTGTTCGATAATTTGATCACCTTTCGCATTGCTTTCGATTCTCGCACAAAAAGATCAAGGCTCTCTATTTTTTACGATTTGTTAGTTTCTATATCAGATTATATATTATTTTCTGTGATTTTCGCGTTGGGTTTATTTGAATTTAATTTGATCTTGTTATTTGCAGGTTTTATTCTTCTTTTTTCTTGTTAATTTGTGTTTCCGCCTATGGATTCATCACGAAAGATCAAGTACCGAAGCCCTCTCCAAGAACAGTTCCTTCCGAGAAAGCGCAATCGGGAAAATGTAAGCGGGTTTCCCTTCTGGGTTCTTTTGATTTGTTTCAAATTGTTATGGTTTACATATTTTTCCCGTATGAATTTCTCCTGGGTTTGCTGTTAATTATCTGCATCGTTGCAATTTTAGGGCTTTTTTCCTTCAAGAATTGGGCGAATCTTTGTTTTTGATTGCTTAATGAAAACAAAACCGAATTCCGAGATTTGTTTTTCAAAAGCGGCCAGCTAATTTTCTTTAACCTTTATTTTACTGGAAACCCACCAGAGGTTTAGTGTGTCTTGGGTTTTCGTTTTCTGATGTTGTCTTTTGGTATTCACAGCTGGACAGGTTTATACCGAATCGAGCGGCAATGGACCTTGATTACGCGAATTACATGGTCACCGGAGGGAGAAAAGGCAAAGAGAACTCGGTTGTAAGCTCTCCATCAAGTGAGGCGTACCGTAAGCTACTGGATGAGACGTTTAACATGAACCGGCCGCGAATCCTGACATTCAAGGAAAAGCCACCAACACCAGTTGAAGCCATTCCGAGGAGGCTACTTTCACCCCCTCCTCATAATGCCAAATCTGCCAAGCCCCGTCGACAGATTCCTCAGGTATAATTGCATTAGTACTGTCATATGTGAAGTTGGATTATGAACACTTCTGCTAAAAAATGTCTACTTGGATTCTAAGATTGTTTCACATAGGTAATGCTAGACATAAGGGAATGTAAGTCTGCTCGTACTCTGTGTGTAATGATGATAACATGCAGTTTGTGTGTTCCAGTGATGATCGTATAAGGGAATGTAATTCTGCTTAGGATTTTGCCTGAATCATTGGTTGTAGTGTGCGTTATACCATTGTTATGTGGCTGTTCTTATTGTTCCAAATTGATTTTGCAGGGTTCAGAGAGGACACTGGATGCTCCCGGGATTGTAGATGATTTCTACTTGAATGTACTCGACTGGAGCAGCAATAATGTTCTTGCAATTGCTCTAGGAAACACAGTGTACCTATGGAGTGCTTCTGATGCATCCGTTGAAGAACTTGTCACAGTTGATGATGAAGCTGGCCCCGTTACAAGCATCAGTTGGGCTCCTGATGGGCAGCACGTTGCTGTTGGCTTGAACAATTCCAATGTTCAATTGTGGGATTCCATCTCTGTTAAACTGGTAAGAACATTGTTATTGCTTATTCTGCTGTTAAACAAAACCTTGCTGCTAAATTTACTGCTCATTGTGCAGTTGCGAGTGTTGAGAGATGGTCACCAACAAAGAGTGGGTTCACTGGCGTGGAACAAGCACATACTTACCACAGGCGGTGGGGATAGTAGAATAATCAACAATGACCTTAGAGTGAGATCTCATATAGTTGAAACCTACATCGGTCACCATCAGGAAGTTTGTGGATTGAAATGGTCAGCGTCGGGCCAACAATTAGCTAGTGGAGGGAACGACAATCTTCTCTTTATATGGGATAGGTCGGCAATCTCTTCAACTTCATCACACCAGTGGCTTCACAGGCTTCAAAACCACTCTGCAGCAGTCAAGGCCCTTGCTTGGTGTCCATTCCAAGGGAATTTGCTGGCCTCTGGTGGAGGTGAAGGTGACCAGTGCATTAAGTTCTGGAATGTACACACGGGCTCGTGCTTGAACTCGGTTGAAACTGGTTCACAAGTGTGTGGTCTGGTGTGGAGCAAGAATGAGCGTGAATTGCTTAGTTCTCACGGTTTTAGCCAGAATCACCTGGTCCTTTGGAAATACCCTTCGATGGTGAGGATGGCAGAGCTCAGTGGCCATACATCCAGAATTCTCTTTATGACTCAGGTAATAATTTCAGAAAAATTAACTTTTGATAAGTTGAACTGTGTTAATGAAAAAGGCTAGGTCACAACTTGATTTTGTAGTTTCTAACCGTGTTTTTTATGCTTTCAGAGCCCAGATGGATGTGCTGTGGCCACTGCAGCCGCGGATGAGACTCTTCGGTTTTGGAATGTGTTTGGGATTCCTGAGGTTGCTAAACCCCCACGAGAAGAAAGTTCAATGCCATTTGTTGATTACTGCATACGTTGAAGATCAGGAAAAGCAACTGCGGCTTTAAGGTGGTTCATATGTTGAAGCTGACCTCTGTTGTTGGGAGTCTTGGGACAATCTGCAACAGGAGAAGAAAGTGCAGTGCTATTTGCTTATTGCTGCATTCGTCGAAGATCATGACAAGTGCCTCTCTAAGTTGACCTATCTTCAGATGCTTTCCCATTAATCTTCTCTCTTTTAGCTAGACTTGATTTCTCCTGAGGTCAGACCTTGTTTTCGTGGTGGATTCCAAAACTGAACAGATAAGAGTATATGTTTTTTACTATAAGTTTGTAACAGGGAAAAGAAAAAGAAAGAGGAGTGTTGATGCAAATGTGTATTATTTACTGTATATGGTTACAAGAAATAAAGCAGTTTGATATAAATTCTTCTTTCTATTCTTTTGCTATTATGTAAGATGAAGGAGAACCTTGACCTCATGGTGGCGGTGATGATGTGCACATGGCGTCGGCACCACCACTATGCGGAGGTGGAGATTGGTGTACTGGCAGATCATGAGTTTAGTCCCTGTAGTTTGAGTGATGTTCCACGTTGATGACGACATATTTTCGGTCAATTTAACCCCTGTATTTTTGCATTCAAAGGCAATGGTTATATTTTGACAAATTTTTTCGACTTAATTAGCTCGCAAATGATATATGACAGGGTAAAACAACCTTCGTTCGTCGGTTGGTTAGCCAGACAGACGAATCTAATATTGTGCGTATGTCATGGACCTTGACCCTGCTGAGATTTTTAGTGCAAACCTGGGATGCTGTTTGCTACCGGGTTTTATGAGGAAGTTTATGCTGAAGAGTTGTTCTGTAGAATGTCTCGAATGCTCGATGGAGAAGTCATGGGGCTACTACTTCAGGTTATCTCGATTGTCAGGGCTCGTGCAGTTCGGCTTGATTATGTTCTTGCTTGGTGCACTACTGGTCCTGTCATCTCCGAAGCGCTAGCTTCTACATTTCCTATGATCGTCTTGAATCCTTACACGCGCTGCGTACAGTGGATGAATGATTTTAAGGCATTTCAATAGAGATCACTTGTACACTTCTGCTTTGACTCAGAGGCTCCCGTGTTGGATGACATGTATAAGAAGCTGCCGTCTGTTGAGTCTCTGACGCTTTTTGTGCTTGAACGGAGGACTTCTTTAACGCCGTTGAAGCATGCGTTGTGTATGCAGGCCTGATGTGGACAAGATATGGGCAGAGAGGCCGACGCTTGGACGAGCAATGCAGGAGGGAGAAGACATACATGTTAGGATGAGGACGATGAAGTCGAAGAGGAAGACGAGAGAACTACCAAAGATTTAGGACTTTATGAGTATGATTTGTGAAGGACTTTGAGATGTTATTGGTACTTCGAAAAGGCCACCTCCCAGAGGTGCAATTCCGTCATATTATTATATAAACGAGGAGTGCAGGATGACTCTTTCGGAGTGCAAAACAGTTCGGCCCTAAGCTTGGGATACTTTTACCAAAAAAAAAAAAAAAAGCTTGGGATACTGCGTACGGATTTAGTACCACTATTCTGGTACCGGATACCAGCAACCTACCAATTATTGTCAGAACTCAGAAGGATGAAATCACATTCATATAAGCGCATGGTCCATACAAAATCTCATCACATGAATGCTAAAAAATGTACATCCCCTTAGGCTTCAGAAACATTTACAAACTGAGCGCTCATCATCCAATCAGTGCAGCAATTTACACTCGTAACAGTGCTTCTTGCTCATCTGTTTTCCAATCATACATCGGAAATCTTCGCTTCAACGCATCCTCAACCCCAAAACGTTCCTTACCATCACTGCCTTGCGCGAATCTCAAGTGCAACAAGCCATCGTTTGTGCTCACGAGCATAACTTGCAGATGAAAATTAGAAATGGAGGCCACTTTTGTGTATCAGAGAGCGAGTACATGATTCCTTTTGCTTCCATGAATCCAAGGGAAGCCGCCTTCATCTACAAAGATCTTGACCTGGGGATCAACCACAATGGCAAGGCAAGCTATTCTGAGGGAAGAGTCTATGGAACCAGGTACTTGAAGGATAATTTCGATCGATTGGTGCGTATTAAGACCAACATCGATCCGGGTAATACTTTTAGGAATGAACAAAGTATCCCAACTCTTCCATTCTAGAGAAAGTAGATAATATGCAGCTAGCATGGTAAAAAGCACTTTCCTGTATTAATTTCGGATCGAGCTATTGATTAGGAAAGTATTTCTTCAAATTAGCAAAAGAAACAAAAAGGAAGAAATTAACTAGTAGAAAATAAATCTCATTGCTGTAAACATGTTTCCCTTGCAATGTTTCGCTACAACGTGTGCCAAATTTACAAATTATGTAGGTTCTAGGATTTCCGACAATTATAATTCAAAATCCAAACTCAAACTGCTTTAGTCAAAATGACACCTATAAAGATTACCAAGAATCTCTCTGAGAAAATGAAAAAAGAAGTTTTATAGCATACCATCCACCACCGGACCAGCAACCCTTCTGTGATAAACATCGGGCATGTCTTTGCTCTTCTGAGTTAACCACTCCCAATGTCTACCGAATCTGCCTTATCATGATGGAATGATTTGTGCTTACAGAATTTTGTTCACTCGCCAAATCAAGTTTCAAAACCTGGCTCCCAAAGATGATACCAAACATGCGATTAATCCAGAATGAAGGGGCACAGCAAGGGTAGCACAGAAGGGATATCAATTCAAGAAATGCAGATGTCAAGTTGCATTAGTAGCCTCTAGCAGACAACCTTTGTCCAATAACATTGCATTGCGTCTAGCAGTAAATTCTCCTCTTTATGATCTGAATATCCCGCATTCCAGGAAGCAGATGTTTTGAAGATTATCTAAAATCTATCCTAAGAGGTTCTGTCACATATTTATGTACAAAAGTGTCCCTTGGGTCAGTACATGAACACAACAGTTTGAATAACAGTATCTTTTCAAAGATATTTTCGGACCAAAGAAAAGGGTAACTTTGCTAAGCTAGCTTAGATTGACTTCATTGCATCCTTCATCTTGAGGCTAGATTCGGTGTGTTTTAAGACTAAATCAATGAGATGATGGTAAGTCCATGTTTTATTTTCTCTAAAGTCAGGCTCAAGCGAGGAGAATGCTGCTTCACAGTTTCTAAGGAAATGTCCTTTCCCAAATGTGGTGAGAACCAGGGGATCGGTATTCATCTCCACAGATCTTTGGAGCAAGCCCTTCTTTTTCCATATATCTAAAGTCCCAGACCCGTCGTAGCCAATCATATTTGCATCAAATAGAATTCCAACTGTGATAATATCCGGCTCCACACCCTGGGTTAGTAATTGAGAGAGCAAGATTCTCAAGTGTGTGAAATCTTTCATCTTCAAATAAGCTAACATGATAGTGTTTGCAACCGTTGCATTCCACGGGGTTTTTTGTTCCTTCATCTCTTCAACAATGGAATCCATTCCTCTTCGACTAAGAAGTCCAGCACGAGATAGAAGACGCAGACACCAAACTAGATCAGTCTGACCAAATCTTGAAGAAATATCAACTCCCAAGTTCTCTAATCTTGAAAACATATAGTTCTCGATATAAACTTCAGCTAGTTTCCTAATTAAGTCATCCTTCACCAGTGTTCTGGAGTTCAAAAGTCTCATATAAACCTTTTCCATCTTATCCAAGATCCCAAATTTTGCATAAACCTCAAGCATTGCAATCAAAGTAGAAGACTGCAAAAACATTCTCTTAGAAAGCATGGACTGATACACACTTTCCATTCTTTTGAGTAACCCGCCCCTTGAAAACTCTCGAATAAGCAAATTATATGTAATGTGGTCAGGTGGGCAGCCATTTAGTTTCATTTTCTTCACGCACATACCCATCTCATCATACATTTTATACTTCCCATACGCTTCAATAAGCCCATCATATGTATCAGTTTCTAGAGCTACATTCATTTCTCTCATCTCGTTAAAGTAAAACAAAGCATCATCAAAGTTTCCTTGTCTGGCAAAACCATGAATCATTGAATTGTAAACCTCCAAAGACGGCCTAAGATCATGACTCTTCATCTCTTGAAAGCATGGCGCTGCCTCTTCCATGAGGCCCTCTTCACTTAACAATCCTATTATCTTGCTGTAGTTGAACTCATTAATCCGCGATTTCTCGATCTTCTTCCACATCTCAAACAACTGTTCAAAGTGTCCAAGCCACCATTACAATAAGAAACATAAGAAATTATCCAAAAAACTACTCGTCATGATGCTCTGTTTGGATGGTCAGAAAAATATAAGAAAAGCAATGAACGGAAGGTAAAAAACATTATCCAAATCAAACATGCTTAATTCCTAAAAACCCAATTCATTTTTCCTAAAAACCCAATATTCAAATTCCAAATCCAGTAGTTATTAGAATATTATTAGCAACAGAGAGAGAGAGAGAGAGAGAGAGAGAAACCTGAAGAATTTCCTTGGACCTGGAAGCATTGTTGAGGAATGTGATGACAGCCCAAAATTGGTCTTTGGTCCAATCACCATCATCTGCAAGCAATTGTAAAGGCAAACAGTCCTCGGTGGTGACCTTCACAAGTAAGTCTTTGAGCCTCTGGTGCTCATGGAAAGTCTCCACAAGGAGGGTGGTGTGCTTTGTAGAACCACCGCGTGGAGCGGCTACATCTGGTGGCGGAAATGGGTCGGAATAGCAAAGAGAAGAAGGGAATGGTGTTCTGGGTTTGGGGGAGCGTTTTGTGGTTAGGGTTCTGGGGAAGAGGAAGCTGTTGGTACTGTGATTGAGCTTCCATGTCGGTGGTATTAGGCAATGGAAACGGTGCAGGGGCACAACACTCTCCATCTTCCAATCTGGTTGCTTCCGTGGGTTGCCTCTCGTTCCTCCCTTCCATTTTATTTTTTATTTTTGTTTGAGGCTTTAGTGCATTTCAACCATTTTCAAAAATTAGTCGGGACGGTTTTAATTTTCTCACGTTACAATCTATTCTTTCAAATTTTGATATATTTACACACTATATATAGGATAAGAATTGTCTGCCCTTCCACTTCGGATGTCCTTGTGCTTCTATTTATGTGATCACGGTTAAGCCACGTCAACATTTTATATTACTATTCATTTTTGTCTTATTATTTCTATAAAAAAACAATATAAAATGTTGAATTGGCTTAACCGTGACCACACAAAACAGGAGGGCACCGGAAGTGAGAGGGCAGACAATCCTTATCCCTATATATATAAGATGATAGTTTGGTCAAATGTTAAATATTGATGTGGCAATGTGAGACACATGCTATTTTTACGTTAAACAATGATTTTCACACACTCGTTTCCTTCTTCACTCTTTCTCTTGCAACATATTATATTGACACATATTATATTGCAAGGTTTTGTCATGATGCAGGCAGGGACTTGAAGATATTGTCGCAGACATAGAGATGGTCGCATAATCTCTATGTCAATTATGTCACAGTATGTGCGTTTACTTGCTTGGAGTAGAGAATCCTATTCCCATCTTAAAACTTTTAATATAATCAAGGCATTATTACTCAAGTATTAAGGATAGGGCACATCACCCCGAAAAAATTTAATTATTTTTATCATTCTAAATCTCCCAACAAATATAAACTCTACTAAGGTCACTTAACTCATTTGAATTTGAATAATCCAAACTATTCAACCAATCAAGCATATCCGATAAATTGTTACTGGTTAGCTTCCACATTTTTCTTAACAAACTCTTTCTGATTAACTGCTGTCATTCTTCATTTTGCAACCACGTTGCTGATTTGGTACAAAACTCACCATTAGAGGAAGCAGATCGTAACATTACAATTTTTTTTAACTATATCCACACTTGATTAAATTTGAAGTGATTCTAACAGTTATTTTCAATAAAATGACTAACCATTTCCAGTCTAAAGCACTTCTTTGATCCTTAGGAGCAAGCTGGAAGTGGGTAAGGAAAAATCCAACGGTTTCAAGCGTATATCTTGATTATTACCTACGATCCATCTCATGCCTTTCTAGAGCACATCTCTACTTCTAAGAATACTTTTCCAGGCCAAAAAGTGATCTTGCTTAATCTCGCAACGAAGAAAGTCATCTTGCATAAGGTATTTTATTCTTTACTAACTAGACCATCAATTATTTTCTTGAGATAACACCTTCCAGCTTAATTTGGCAAGACAAGCGTTATCTAAATAATTTGATCTTTTGATGGGGTTTAAACTTTCCTAAAAAGTTGTGCCATCAGTTGGGTTCATCAATGAAAAAAAATGTTTTTTAATATCTAGAAGCAACTTTACACATGCTTCTAAAAAAAAATTATTATTTTTTAATTAGGGGCAAGTGAATACTATCAATTAATGAAATTTTTATATTAACAATTCTATCCTTTTTTTTTAAATACTTTTAGAACTACAATTTATCAGACATTTATTTATTTTTTTTCCACAGCTATTTATTCACACCGAAGCAGTTTTGGGAAGAAAAATAAATTAAAAAAAACAATAACCTCAAACTCGCGTTCCTTAATTTTTCCTCTTCCTCGAAAATGACTAGTTTAACGAAGTGAGGTTTGCTGAATTTGTCCGGCGAACTGAAACTGAAGAGGACGATGAAAAGGATAACTACAAGAATTCCATTCCCAGGTAATCTTCCTTCTTTCATTTTTACCATTCTGCAGAATCCAAGTCGGGGATTTCATTCCGACGCTGTTAATGCTAATCCTACTTGTACGCATACAATTAAACAAACCCATTTGGTGTCGGAGAGTATGATTCAGACTCGATGCAAATCTGGAAAAATTAGGAAAGATGAAGCCTTGGGTTACTTTTATTCCATGATTCAAATCAAACCCTTGCCCTCTGTTTGGACTTTGAATTATTTGTTGGGGGCACTCTCCAAGATGAAGGAATATTCTGCTGTGGTTTCTATGTGTAAACAGTTGATGGGTTGCGCTCAATTCCGACCTGATGTCTGTACAATGAATATTTTTCTGAATTGCTTGTGCCGGCTGAACCGGATGAACGCTTGTTTCTCTGTTTTAGCAATTACCCTTAAATACGGTCTTCAACCCAATGCTCATTCTATAACTACTTTTCTTCATGGGCTTTGCAAGAATTGTTCCCTGGCGGAGGCAATGGAGTTCTTCGAAGAAATAGAAACGAAAGGATACGCGTGCAATGAAATAACTTATGCTACTATGATCAATGGACTATGCAAAGCTGGGAAAACTTCTAAGGCTCTCGAGATACTTACGAAGATGTGGGAAGATGGAGGGTTCAAGCCCAACCCAGAATGCTACAATCCAATCATCGATAGCCTCTGTAAAGAAAGACAAATAGATGAGGCATTGACCCTATTTCGAGATATGATCAGCAAAAGTGTTGTACCGAATATTTTCAATTATACCACATTGATTCATGGGTTATGCAACACGAGTCGCTGGGAAGAAGTGCTGTCTCTTTTTGAAGGAATGGTAGACCAAGGAGTCAAGCCTAATATTGTCACCTATAATGTTCTTATGACCACTCTTTGCAAGGAAGAAAGAATTCAAGAAGCACTTACTCTGTTTGGAACAATGACCGAGAAAGGTATAAAGCCTGATGTTGTCACTTTTAATTCCTTGATTTCTGCTTCATGCAAGTCTGGTAACTGGGACGAAGGTGTGAGGTTATTTAAAAACATGATTGATTATGGAGTCTTTCCTGATATTGTTACATACAGTACTGTTCTGGATGCTTTATGCAAGGAAGGGAAGACAGAAGAGGCACTGAATCTTGTGGAAGAAATGGTCCGCAGAGGTGAAAAGCCTAATTGTGTGACTTACAACTCCTTAATTAATGGATTGTGCCGGACCAGCCAATGGAGAGAAGCCACAAGGTTGTTTGATGAAATGGTTTGCCGTGGAATCTTACCTAATTTCATAACTTTGAACATACTCTCGGGTGCTCTCTGCAATGGAAATATGACAGATGAGGTTCGCAAAGAATTTGAAGCGAGAATAGATGGAGCTTTGTAGCTTGGTAAGGAAATGGTCCAAAAAGGATTGATGCCTGGTCTAGAAACGGGAGGAATTTTAGGAGGTTCTTCGTCCTAAACTACATGCTTCACGTGCAGAATGGTTTGAAATTTATATTGATGAAGAGTGGTAATATGTAATTGGACTTCTAAGGATGAGAGGTTATATGTTTCTCCTTTTTGTTACACGCTACTTGTGTGATGTTACTTCAAGATCCTCCGTTTCATGGTGCTTCCAAATTAAATGTTGGTCCCTCTCCTCTAGAAATTGGTCGTTCAAGGAATATTTCAGCGAGAGGATTGATTAGAGACAACATGACTGCTAATCTTGGCCGAGGTGAGATTTTATCTGCTGAATCACGAGTCTTCTGCGTGGTTGCAGTCATAGTATAACTTCATCTTTTGGTGGAAGTTGACTCTCATTCTCATCTTTTGCTATATTGATTGCCTAATGAATAGGCACTGCCTATTTTTATTTGATGTCATATGGATTCATATTTGTTGATTCCATGAGGTATTTTAAATGGTGGAAGTCTCGGATGTTAGTGAGACTTGGTGCTAATCAGGTTGCTACTTAGTGTGTGATATTTGAGCGTGCGCTTTCCCTAGCTTGTGCAAAACTAAATACTTCTGGAAAGAAGGCAGCGGCAGATATATGTTGGCTGCATACCGACTTCAGTTTAGGGCTTGTTTATTAACCATATCGTTATTAATTTTTAGTTTTTTGTGCTTGGGGTGTGATGAAAGGATACGCATGCAATGAAATAACTTATGCTACTATGATCAGTGGATTATGGAAACAAGGGAAAATTTCTAAGGCACTCGGAGACTCTTAAGAAGATGTGGGAAGATGGAAGGTTTGAGCCAAAACAAGATTGCTACAATCCAATCATCGATAGCTTGTGTAAAGAAAGCCGAATGGATGAGGCCTTGACCTTATTTCGAGATATGATCAGCAAAAGTGTTGTACCGGATATTATCAGTTATAACTCTTTGATTCATGGGTTATGCAACATGAGTCGTTGGGAAGAAGTGCTCCCTCTTTTTGAAGGAATGGAAGATCATGGAGTCAGGCCAGATGTTGTCACCTACACCACTCTAGTTTATGCATTGTGCCAATTGGGGAGGTTGGAAAAGGCCAAGAGCTTCTTGATTTGCATGTTTAACGGTAGAATTTCACCAGATGTATACACATATAGCGTTCTAATGAACGCGTTGTGCAAGGATGACAGAATTCAAGAAGCACTTTCTCTGTTTGGAACAATGACTGAGAAACGTATAAAGCCTGATGTTGTCACTTTTACTTCCTTGATCTCTGCTTCATGCAAGTCGGGTAACTGGGAGGAAGGTGTGAGATTATTTAAAACCATGATTGATTATGGAGCCTTGCCTAATATTATAACATACAATTCTGTACTGGATGCTTTATGCGCGGAAGGGAAGACAGCAGAGGCACTGAATCTTGTCGAAGAAATGTTCTGTAGAGGGGAAAAGCCTGATGTTGTGACTTACAACTCTTTAATTAAAGGACTGTGCCGTACCAGCCAATGGAGAGAAGCCCCAAGGTTGTTTGACGAAATGTTATGCCATGGAATCTCACCCGATTGCATAACTTTGATGATACTTTCCGGTGCTCTCTGCAGTGGAGGGATGACAGATGAAGTTCGCAAAGAATTTAAGGCGAGAACAGATGGAGCTTTTAAGCTGGGTAAGAAATGGTCCAAGAAGGATAGATGCCTCAAGCCTGGTCTAGAAACGGGAATAGATTTCCATGTTTTTCTTGTTTCCGTTACGGCTTTGATTGATCACCACCCCCCCCCCACCTCATCCACCTTCGATTTTATGTGAGCCGGTAATGGAATATATTTTAGCCAGACATGAGCTGCATCGATCTGTCTCGTTTGATCTGAAAGAACAATCACCATGGTCATTTATACGTACTTCATTGACTGCGTCTATGTATTTATACGTCCTTACGGCAACTGAACCAATTTGGAACTTCGCTGCCTGGTAGTATGACACCTGATAGCACTTCCCAGCTGTAAGATTCATATCATGGAGATAGCGAAAGCCAAATTTTCGCATAGCCTTTGGCAACTAGACACGTCCATCCAACGAATGAGTCTCATGTCTCCGTCTCCCATATCATCTTTGACAATGTTGAAACTATTTCCTTTGATATTGCACCATCACATGCTCACATTTTAATTAGTTACATTCACCATCAAATTCTAACATTTTAATTGTCAAAACATTTTTGTTAACAAACTCTAATGGATTAACTGTTGCCCCTCTTCATTTTGCAATCACGTTGCTGATTTGGTACAAAACTCTCCATTAGAGGAAGCAGATCGTAACTTTACAATTTGTTTTTAACTATATCCGCACTTAAAACTTGATTAAGTTTGAAGTGATTCCAACAGTTATTTTCAATAAAATGACTAACCTTTTCCAGTCTGAAGCACTTCTTTGATCCATAGGAGCAAGATGGAAGTGGGTAAGGAAAAATCAAATGATGGGTTCAAAAGCATGTCTTGACCTTTACCCACAATTCATGGGTCCAAATAGTAGGATATAGAAGCAACTTTGCACATGCTTCTAAAAAAATCGCTTTTTTTAATTAGAAGCAAGTGAACACTACTAATTAATGAAATTTTCATATTAACAACCTTATTCTTGTTTTAGAAAAAACACTTTTAGCATTACTGTTTATCAAACACTTATTTATTTGAAAAAAATACACAATAACCTCAAGGAATGTGATATCCACACGTCTCGTTTTACTTCTCACACATCTTTTTAATTTTCGATCGTTGGATCAGATGAATTGAAGAATATCAACGGATAGAAATTATCAAGAGTGTGAGAAGTAAAATGAGATGTGTGGATAACACATCCCTAACCTCAAACTTGCGTTCCTTATTTTTCCCCTTCCTTGAAAGTGACTAGTTTAACGAAGTGAGGTTTGCTGAATTTGTCCAGCGAACTGAAGCTGAAGAGGACGATGAAAAGGATAACTGCAAGAACTCCATTCCCAGGTAATCTTCCTTCTTTCATTTTTACCATTCTGCAGAATCCAAGTCGGGGATTTCATTCCGACGCTGTTAATGCTAATCCTACTTGTACGCATACAATTAAACAAACCCATTTGGTGTCGGAGAGTATGATTCAGACTCGATGCAAATCTGGAAAAATTAGGAAAGATGAAGCCTTGGGTTACTTTTATTCCATGATTCAAATCAAACCCTTGCCCTCTATTTGGACTTTGAATTGTTTGTTGGGGGCACTCTCCAAGATGAAGGAATATTCTGCTGTGGTTTCTATGTGTAAACAGTTGATGGGTTGCTCTCAATTCCGACCTCATGGGTTGTCGCTTTTACTTCCTTGATCTCTGCATTGTGCCAATCGGGGAGGTTGGAAAAAGCCAAGAGCTTCTTGATTTGCATGCTAAACAGTGGAATTTCACCCAATGTATACACCTATAATGTTCTTATGAACGCTCTTTGTAAAGAAGAAAGAATTCAAGAAGCGCTTACTCTGTTGGAAAATATGACAACGTAAGGCACAAAGCCTGATGTTGTCACTTTTAATTCCTTGATTTCTGCTTCATGCAAGTCTGGTAACTGGGAAGAATGTGTGAGGTTATTCAAAACCATGATTGGTTATGGAGTCTTGCCTGATATTGTTACATACAATTCTGTTTTATGTGAGCCGGTACGGCTTTGATTGATCATCCCCCTCATCCACCTTCGATTTTATGTGAGCCGGTAATGGAATGTATTTTAGCCAGCCATGAGCTGCATTGATCTGTCTGGTTTGATCTCAACGAACAATCACCATGGTCATTTATACGTACTTCATTGGTGGCCGTCTATGTATTTATACGTCCTTACGGCAACTGAACCAATTTGGAATTTCGCTGCCTGAAAGTATAACACTTGATAGCACTTCCCCGCCTATAAGATTCATATCACGGAGACGGCGAGAGCCAAATTTTCGCATAGCCTTTGGCAACTAGACACGTTCATCCAACGAATGAGTCTCATGTCTCCATCTCCCCATATCATCTTTGACAATGTTGAAACTATTTCCTTTGATATTGCACCATCACATTCTCACATTTTAATTAGTTACATTCATCATCTAACCTTTTTTTTTTTTATTGAAGAAAAATTTATTAAAGAGAGAAACCGCGAGTACAACCAGCACCAGTAAAGCCCAAATGAAAAAAAGTTTTCTCTTGCATAACAGAGCCATCAAAGTTTAGTTGGCTTTTTATTCAAAATGGTCCATGAGATTTGCATCATCCATAAGCTTGGTCCTTGAGATTTAAAATCAATAGAAGTAGTTCCTAAGATTGTCCACCATCCATGATTTTGATCCTTCCGCTGAAGCTTTTGGCCGGAAGTTTGGTCAATTTTCAAAGCTTCGTAACTCAATCGTTTCTTAACTCAATTCGACCCATAATATCTCAAAATGAAGATAGGAAAGTATAGAATAAGATTATATCTATTTGGAAGCCCAATGGTAGCCGGAGATGGTCGGAAAATAGCCTCAAATTGACTGGTCCGAGGGAAAACTGGAAAACTCGCCGGAAATAGGCAAACTTTAAATGTTCATAACTTCTTCAATACTCAACGAAATTAAGTGATTCAAAAATAAAAATCATACTTCTCGACGAGAAGAAGAGAATGGTACCTTTTTCAACGGCTAAATCGCCGTGGTTTGGCCTGAAAACGGCTCGAAAGTTGCTGACTCGTTTTTCAACAGCCGTTTTCTGGCCAAACCACAATGAGTTAACCGTTGAAAAAGGTACCATTCTCTTCTTTTCGTTGAGAAGTATGATTTTCGTTTTTGAATCACTTGAGTTCGTTGAGTATTGAAGAAGTTATGAACGTTTAAATTTTACCCAGTTTCGGCGAGTTTCCGGCAAGTTTTCCAGTTTTTCCTCGGACCAGTCAACTTTGAGGCTATTTTTTGACCATCTCCGGCAATCATTGGGCTTCCAAATAGATATAACCTTATTCTACACTTTCCTATCTTCATTTTGATATATTATGGGTCGAATTTGGTTAAGAAACGATTGAGTTACAAAGCTTTGAAAATTGCCCAAACTTCCGGCCAAAAGCTTCAGCGGAAGGACCAAAATTATGGATGGTGGACAATCTCAGGGACTACTTCTATTGATTTTAAATCTCAAGGACCAAACTTATGGATGATGCAAATCTCAATGACCATTTTGAATAAAAAGTCAAGTTTAGTTTAACAAAATCTTTATCAGGGGGATGCCATTTAACAATAGTGGAGATATCGTACCCTTATTCAAATTAATTCTTATGCTTGCATTATAAAAATCTACCCCCACACTAGTAACAATCATTTGAGACCTTCTAGGATAGGGTACATCACCCCGAAAAATCCAATTATTTCTATCATTCCAAATCTACCAACAAATAAGAACTCTACTAAGGTCACTTAACTCATTTGAATCCAAAAAATCAAGACTATTCATCCAATCAAGCATATACGATAAATTGTTACTAGTTAGCTTCCACATTTTTCTTAACAAACTCTTTCTGATTAGCTGTTGTCCTTCTTCATTTTGCAACCACGTTGCTGATTTTATACAAAACTCACAATTAGAGGAAGCAGATCGTAACATTACAATTTTTTTTAACTATATCCACACTTAAAACTTGATTAAGTGTGAAGTGATTCCAACAGTTATTTTCAATAAAATGACTAACTTTTTCCAGTCTAAAGCACTTCTTTGATCCTTAGAGCAAGATGGAAGTATATAAGGAAAAATCCAATGATGATTCAAAAGCATATGTCTTGATCACTACCCACAATTCATCTCATGCATTTCTAGAGCACATCTCTACTTCTGGAAAAGGTGCTCTACATTCCTTTTCCTGGGGATCTTAGAGATCTTGTGATTGTGACCGTTTATCGCATATCGTGCGATCAGAAATCATTTTAAAATTTAAAATTTAAAATTAAATATAAATAGTATATAACAAAAACTGACCGCACAATGTACGATGAACGGTCACGATCATGGGATCCCCTAAGATCCCCATGAAAATGATTCGACTCTACTTCTAAGAATCCTTTTCCAGGCCAAAGAGTGATCTTGCTATATCTCGCAATGAAGAAAGTCATCTTACTGCCCGAGGTATTTTCTTCTTTACTAACTGGACCGTCAATTATTTTCTTGAGATAACACCTTCCAGCTTAATTTGGCAAGACAAGCGTATTTAAGTAATTCGATCTTTTGATGGGGGTTTAAACTTTCCTAAAAAGTTGTGCCATCAGTTGTGTTCGTAAATGAAAAAAAAAAGGTATTTTCTTACAAAATCATGGGTCCAACACAGGATTTTTTTGCCAAATTACCATATCAACAGTACTATACCAAAGTTGTGGCAAAAACCATTGGTAATGGTACGGTATTTGTACCGTACCATACACTTTTGGTACGGTAATGGTTACTAGTGGTATACCGTAACGTATCACTACTATTAATATTATATCATTTATTTATTCATTTATATATAATTAGGTATTATTATCATTATATATGCACTTTATTTTTTCTAGTCATTTATCCAATCATCTCATCCTCTAACTTCTACTTTCCCAATAAAAAAATCTAAGCCTTCTTGCGCTGCGACTCTTCATTTTTTCACTCATCTAGCCATAGACTTCATCTCTGTTGCTCTAGTTCCAGTGACTCTCTCTCTCTGGAGTCCACCTCATCTTCTCCTTCATCAATTTGGGATGTCTTTCTCTCAGGCTTCGTCTATCAAGTTAATTTTTTTACTTCTTGTTTCTTAAATGAATCTCTATAAATTTCTCATAATTAAATAAAAGGAAAACTAATAAAAATGACTTGAAAACTTTGAGTTTTAACGATAAAGACAAAATAAAGGGTAAAATGAATACTATCATAATTGATTTTTTAGTGTAAAAATGTGGTTTTTCGTTAAAATGAACAGTATCCGGAGCTTTTCTTTAAAGTTCCCTTAAATAAAAAAGTTTTAGAAAGCCAAAAGGGAGTGACCAAAACACGTTTGGGGCTTGAATTGAGTTGGAAAAAAAAAATCAAAATTTAGCCCAAAAGAATGGCCTAAAACAAAGTGGTAATTACCATTACCATTAACATACCTTACCAACCGAACTATTTGGCATGCCGAAATTCGGTATACCAAAAGTTTGGCATGATAATGGTAATAGATTTTGTCATACCAAAAGTTTGGTATGATAATTGGTACATGGGTTTTGGTATGATAATCTTACCTATACCCCCTAGAAGCAGCTTTACACATGCTTATAAAAAAATTGCTTTTTTTAATTAGGTACCAATTAATGAAATTTTCATATAAACAATCCTATTTCTTTTTTTACAAAAGCACTTTTAGCACTACAGTTTATCAAACACTTATTTATTTTTGGCTTTTTATTCAAAATGGTCATTGAGATTTGCATCATCCATAAGTTTGGTCCCTGAGATTTAAAATCAATAGAAGTAGTCCCTGAGATTGTCCACCATCCATGATTTTGGTCCTTCCGCTGAAGCTTTTGGCCGGAAGTTTAGGCAATTTTCAAAGCTTCGTAACTCAATCGTTTCTTAACCAAAATCGACCCGTAATATATCAAAATGAAGATAGGAAAGTATAGAATAAGATTATATCTATTTGGAATCCTAATGATTGCCGGAGATGGTTGGAAAATAGCCTCAAAATTGACTGGTCTGAGGGAAAACTGGAAAACTCGTCGGAAACTGGGTAAATTTTAAACGTTCATAACTTCTTCAATACTCAACGAAATTAAGTGATTCAAAAACAAAAATCATACTTCTCAACGAGAAGAAGAGAATGGTACATTTTCAACAACTAAATCGCCGTGGTTTGGTCAGAAAACGGATCGAAAGTTGCTGACTCGTTTTTCAACAGCCACTTTCAAGCAGTTTTCCGGCCAAACCACGGCGATTTAGCCGTTGAAAAATGTATCATTCTCTTCTTCTTGTTGAGAACTATGATTTTCGTTTTTGATGATTTCGTTGAGTATTGAAGAAGTTATGAACGTTTAAAGTTTACCCAGTTTTTGAAGAGTTTCTGGCAAGTTTTCCAGTTTTCCCTCGGACCAGTCAACTTTGAGGCTATTTTCTGACCATCTATGGCAATCATTGGGGTTCCAATTAAATATAATCTTATTCTACACTTTCCTATCTTCATTTTGATATATTATGGGTCGAATTTGGTTAAGAAATGATTGAGTTACAAAGCTTTGAAAATTGCTCAAACTTCCGGCCAAAAGCTTCAGCGGAATGACCAAAATCATGAATGGTGGACAATCTCAGGGACTACTTCTATTGATTTGAAATCTCAAGGATCAAACTTATGGATAATACAAATCGCAGGGACCATTTTGAATAAAAAACCTTTATTTTTTTACACATTATTTATTCTCACCGAAGCAGTTGAAAAAAAAAAAAACAAACAATAACCTTGAACTTGCGTTCCTTCTTTTTCCTCTTCCTCGAAAGTGACTAGTTTAACGAAACTGAAGAGGACGATGAAAAGGATAACTACAAGAACTCCATTCCCAGGTAATCTTCCTTCTTTCATTTTTGCCATTCTGCAGAATCCAAGTAGGGCATTTCATTCCGACGCTGTTAATGCTAATCCTACTTGTACGCATACAATTAAACAAACCCTTTTGGTGTCGGAGAGTATGATTCAGACTCGATGCAAATCTGGAAAAATTAGGAAAGATGAAGCCTTGGGTTACTTTTATTCCATGATTCAAACCAAACCCTTGCCCTCTATTTGGACTTTGAATTGTTTGTTGGGGGCACTCTCCAAGATGAAGGAATATTCCGCTGTGGTTTCTATGTGTAAACAGTTGATGGGTTGCGCTCAATTCCGACCTGATGTCAGTACAATGAATATTTTTCTGAATTGCTTGTGCCGGCTGAACTGGATGAACGCTTGTTTCTCTGTTTTAGCAATTACCCTTAAATACGGTCTTCAACCCAATGCTCATTCTATAAATACTTTTCTTCATGGGCTTTGCAAGAATTGTTCCCTGGCGGAGGCAATGGAGTTCTTCGAAGAAATAGAAACGAAAGGATACGCATGCAATGAAATAACTTATGCTACTATGATCAATGGACTATGCAAAGCTGGGAAAACTTCTAAGGCTCTCGAGATACTTACGAAGATGTGGGAAGATGGAAGGTTCAAGCCCAACCAAGAATGCTACAATCCAATCATCGATAGCCTCTGTAAAGAAAGACAAATAGATGAGGCATTGACCCTATTTCGAGATATGATCAGCAAAAGTGTTGTACCGAATATTTTCAATTATACCACATTGATTCATGGGTTATGCAACATGAGTCGCTGGGAAGAAGTGCTCCCTCTTTTTGAAGGAATGGAAGATCATGGAGTCAGGCCAGATGTTGTCACCTACAACACTCTAATTTATGCATTGTGCCAATCGGGGAGGTTGGAAAAGGCCAAGAGCTTCTTGATTTGCATGCTTAACGGCGGAATTTCACCAGATGTATACACATATAGTGTTCTAATGAACTCGTTGTGCAAGGATGACAGAATTCAAGAAGCACTTTCTCTGTTGGAAAATATGACAACGAAAGGCATAAAGCCTGATGTTGTCACTTTTAAATCCTTGATTTCTGCTTCATGCAAGTGTGGTAACTGGGAAGAATGTGTGAGGTTATTCAAAACCATGATTGGTTATGGAGCCTTGCCTGATATTGTTACATACAATTCTGTACTGGATGGTTTATGCAAGGAAGGGAAGACAACAGAGGCACTGAATCTTGTCGACGAAATGTTCCGTAGAGGGGAAAAGCCTGATGTTGTGACTTACAGCACTTTAATTAAAGGATTGTGTCGTACCAGGCAATGGAAAGAAGCCACAAGGTTATTTGACGAAATGGTATGCCATGGAATCTTACCTGATTTCGTAACTTTGAAGATACTTTCGGGTGCTCTCTGCCATGAAGTGTTGACCGATGAGGTTCGCGAAGAATTTAAGGCGAGAATAGATGGAACTTCGAAGCTTGGTAAGAAAAGGTCCAAGAAGGATTGATGCCTCAAATCCTGGTCTGGAAACGGGAACAACTTTAAGAGGTTCTTTGTCCTGATGCTTCAAATCCTGGTCTGGAAAAGGTCCAAGAAAAACATGTTACATGGTTTGAAATTTATATTAATGATAGATTTCCATTCACTGGGTATGTTTTTCTTGTTTTCGTTACGCTTTTGATTGATCACCTTCCTCACCCACCTTCGAGTTTATGTGAGCCGGAAATGGAATATATTTTAGCCGCACATGAGCTGCATCGATCTCTCTCGTTTGATCTGCAGTCTGTATTTATACGTCCTTACGGCAACTGAACCAATTTGGAACTTCACTGCCTAGAAGTGTAACACTTCATAGCGCTTTCGCAACCACACAAATCAAGTCTCTGCAACCGCACAAATTTCGTATGATTTAGGTGAGCAACCGAAATTTGCAAGGACACGTTCAATACATTGATATTGCACATTGGATATAAATACATAGCCGTGAGGGGCTTGCAGCTTGATTGGTTAAAGAGAATTTAGCCATTCGATTAGAACTTTGAATGATGTAGTGGAGTTTTGCCGAAAATTTATGTAGAACACACAGTGGGACGCTACTTGAATAACCGACATTTTCGGTGGGAGAGTGCGAGATAACTAATGCTGAATCCAATACCTAGATATTTCTAGCCCGTTGTGTGGTTTAGCTCAAGCTGAAATTTCGTCCCATATCAAACATCGACTAACTTTGAACTGTCGCGTAAAATACAGTACCAGCCTACTAAAAATCCCAGACTCAAATAACCATACTGACAATATGCACCTAAGTCGGTAGAAGTAAACACTTAGAGCTAACACACAGACAATAAGTGCATCAATGACTGCAAACTTCACAAGCTTCACTTCAAAATTTCTGAACTGAGACGCTACGGATGCTGGTGCGCAGATGAGCAGCATAAAAATTGTGCCCAGTACGGTCTCCCCTTGGCTTTCCGCTTTTCACTCTTGATCTCTGTAGGGTACCTTGCCGGAGAGTTCCATTCTTTTGCATTGTCTTTCCTAGATGCCTGACCTGTCGGTGATTCGGGAGCCAGAATTGAGTTCACTGTCGTCGTTACACGACCATTGTCCTTCCCCGTCACTGCTTTATCATCTTTCTGAAGCGCAGGGGCTTTTCTTTTTGGTTCGGTGACTTGGCTTTGTTCTCTAGGTAGGCCTCACCCAAAAGGTTTTTCAAAGGAGTGTGTTGCTTCCCAGTGCTCCAGTTTGTAACCTTGGCGATGATCTCTTCGTTCTTCTTTCTCCCCGGTGATTCATTCACAACATGAGTAATAGAAGGAAACCACCCAGCCTGCAAAGGTGCAGGTCTTGGCTGTTCCGGGTTCTGTGCTGTCTTGATTTCAGCAGCAGTAGCCTTTTGATTATCAACGCCTCCAGGTTCAACCAATGTCATGAAAGACGGTGCCTCAAACGTATCAGATTTGTCAGAGTATTGCCTCTCAGATGCAAGTTTCACCTTCCCTTCCAATGAAGCTTGGGGATCTGTAGGTGGTACAGCTTCAGCATCAATAACAGCTTGTGCCTCCGACTGGATAGAATAAACTGTACCATGCATCAACAGCAAATAGACCGAAGTTAGAAAATTTTAACACTTCCTTTTGAGCAAAAGCATTGAATAAGGTATTTATGCATAGAGAAAAGACAGTAAAAGACAGCCTAGAAACAAAAAATATAAATATGGTATACGACTATTCTAAACAATTGTAAATCTATCACAAAAAAAACATTATTAAACGATATATAAACTGATCCAACGAGAAAGTGATATTAAGGAGACCCTCTAAGATGGAGATATATGCTACACCTACAAAAATAGAACTTTTATACGTAACTCATTAATACTTATACCTGAAACAGATCCCCAGTTGCCTTCGAGGCTGTCAGTTTGGCTATTCGAGTCAACAACATCAAGTGCAGACGAACTTGTCTGTTGCTCAACAAGTTTATCACTCTCTTCCTTCAAAGAAACCCCAAGGAGCTCTCTGGAGCAGTTATCTTCAGCAGCGGTGAAACTTGGAACAGAAGATTCAGTAGCTAAAGAGGACAGATTTGGAACAGAAGATTCAGTATCTAAAGAGGACAGACCTACTTCTTTCATTCCACAGTCCATTAAACTCTTCTGTGACGATTCAACATTGGGACCATGATCTGACCCAGCAGCAGTACTGCCCCCAACTTCTAGCTGGACCTTTTCATTGCAATCAATCTCACTTTCCATCACACTTTTCTTTGTATCTGAAACTACATTGAGGTCAGCTCTGCTAGAATTGGAACCGCTGTCCAGGTTCAGTTTTGGCTTCACCAAAAGATTCTCCTCAATAGATCCTCCCCTGCTTTTATTTCCAGATACAACACTTTTTTCAGTTTCACCCTTATCGTGATCACCAGAGTCATCGCCATTCAGTATATCTGTTGAATTAACTTGAAGTTTGGAGAGACAACTGGTATTTTCCAAACTAGTAATAGGGTTCTCAGCAACAATTTTCTCCATAGATACTTCAATGTACTCATCCTCAGTTATAGCATACTTTTCAGTCTCATGATCACCATCGTCAATAACATTTCCTTCTACAGGTCCTTTGCTGCTATGATCTGCACTCAAATCACATTTTTCATCTTTCTCGTTATCATCCAGATCAACAGAGTGTGTTGTTTGATTTATACCAGTACTGCTCAAGGAATTTGCATCAGATGCGACATTTGTATCACTTTCTGGAAAGTTCACCTGTAACGACTCATAATTATCATAAGTCTCCTGTCCTTCAGGAGAGCCAACCAAGCTTTTAGCTATCTGAGGCATCACAATGTCAGCAGGGGGTGATTTTTCATCTGAACCTTGGTTTTCAGTAGTCTTGATCTCAACCTGAGACACATTGGCTTCTTCAAAAGGCACTTCTTTAACCATTGGCTTGCTGCTGCCTCCATCCAGTTCATGGCTAGCTTCTAAATCATGCATATCTGAAGAGGCCACAGTGCCTCCACTTAAATTACTTGACTGGAAAATCTGAGAATTGTCATTTGAAACAGGATTTTTAACACCGTTTTCCTCGTCATTAAATTGTTCCCAAGAGTCCAAAAAAGTGGGCTGGTCTAGTTTCTCTTCTTTGTAGGTTTTGAAACCTTCAAGCATTGCCGCAGCATTGTCTACCACCGGTAGGTCATCAGGCACAGAAAGCACATGTACATTTGCACTCCCTTCTCCCTTCGAGTTGCTACTCTCAGTTAATCCACCAGAACTGAAACAGTGCATCTCGTCTGTGGTATCCACCTTATTTTCTGTGGTATTAACAGAAGCTTGTGCATGTTCAACAGATTCAACATCAGGGGAAAGACCAGCTTGGGGAATATCCAAATCAAACACATGAATATGCTCTTTCTCTGATGGAACAACTTCAATATCTCGCAAAGAGTCTGAAGTCACTTCAACTGTTCTTTCTAACTTAGAGGCACCCTCAGCTGTTTCACTGGAAACTTCATTGGGTGCGACCAAACCGTATGGTAAGTTTCTATCTTGATCACTTGCTTTGATTTCCTTCACCTGGCCCTCCTGTGAAATGGATGTTAAAGAGCTCTCAATCACACTGTCAGTAGCATGGGCCTTCTTGCTATCTTCTGATACATCGTTAACAGGGTGTACGTCATCTTCTGAACCATTCCTATCATCCTGCACAGCTGACTCTGGCCTCTTCATTGAATCGATGCCAGTGATTGACATAGATCCTTGGGACTCTGGTGCATAGCCCAGCTGATTAGTTGTATTCTCTGGATTTAAGAAACTTGCATCAGGTTATTGAGAGATAAATTATTCTGTTACTGCAACTAATGTAATCTGACGACAAAGGTGGAGAAATGTAATGACAAAATATATTCACATAAAGAAATGTACGCGAACATATTAAACAAAATGCAGACCAATGCAAGAACACAGAAGAACATTCACCATCACTACATTACAAAAGAAGTCGATATTGGGTACAATTAATGTTGCACTGAAGAATATCATCTCTTTATCATGAATTTTAAAAGGACTTGTGACTTCAAAGGCATGAAAACTCGTTTACCCATGATAACAAATATAGCACAACACTATTTTGAAATTTTTATGTGAAGAACTCCCATCCAACCAAGTGTACAGAAATGTAATATCAGAACTCAAGGAAAAAAACAAATTCAATGAAACACGGATAGATTTCAGTTCTCAAGCGCAATACGGTTTCACTTATACGCTGTTTGAATACTCTCGAAGTTTTGCAGAAGTTTTAGTTGTAAGTAATTAACATGACACACCTTACACTCAATCTACAGTTTACTGCAGCTTAAAAGTATTTAATCCAGAACATAAACTCAGTATCACACTAAAATTACATTTTGGTTTGTGTTTTCCATACTTAAAAATTGGACCAACATTTCCATATTCTTCTTTTCTTTGTATAAGAAAATATTTCCATATTATCCATACATCTTCTCAAAAAGGACAAACATGCTAACTTATATAATCAAATTAGTTGTCACCAATCAAATAAAAAGGGCGACCCCAAGCCAACAAGGCTCCCCGCTTTGCGAGGGTCAGGGGCGGCTGTATGGGTGTGTGGAACGTCAATATGAACCATAATCTACTCATACTATTCAACAGAATTCACAAGAATTATCCACTCATATTCCAACCTAGACGTGTCATCACTGTTGAACAAACTATATCCTACATTGATGAGTGACAAAGCAAAGCAATTGTACGCACTGCAGGTGTGCACACTCAAATACCTACAGAACCCATCCCTCCCCTTTACAACGATTTATTTTCCTGATTAGGAAATTATCATATCATCCTTCAATGTAATGGATTAAACAGACAATGGTTCTATTTATTCTAATTCATTTAATTTGTTTTCGAGTGCCCTCTTAATAAAGAAAATAATGATTAAGCCGCAAAAAATCAAATTTTCAGACCATAGATAGATACATTAACTAATCAAACAGTTACATATAAATAATTAATCAGATGTCACCAAAACACAGTTAATATGATTAATTGGACTGGTTTATTGAAACGTTACCGTTGATTTCCCCATCATTAAGGGATTGGATGGCATTCAAATCATTCTTGGCAACCTTT